GTGCAATATTTTCAAGATGCTCTACTGGTCAGCATCCTCTTTACAGGCAAGTAGTGGAGAGAGTCATAGAAACATGCTTTTAAATTAAAAAAAAAAAAAATTGAACTTCTGTTCTTTGTACTTTAATTACAATCTCCAGCCCCTAGAGTAGAAGGGCTAAAGAGAGAATGGGCATTCCATCTAATCCTTAAAACTGACTACCTGAGCCTTCAACAGTTGCTGGTCTAATGTGACACTGCACGCAAGAAATTCACAAATGTCTTTAACGAGCCTTTCTGTATAGGTGTCACTGCTTTTGCTTCTAGATTTAATTTCCAGGCATGACTGGAGTACTTTGATCCAGTTTTCAGGTTCCAGGAAAAATGAGCTTTCCTTTGATACTCACTCTCACCTGCCATTCCTTAGCTTAACCAAGTACAAAAAGCTCAGCGATTGTCCCGGGCCTCTCAATGTACATTCTACTTTACACTGTTCCTGTTTCCCCTTTGCTTCCTCATAAGGTTTCCTGCTCTGACCCTTTCTTTCATATGGTTTCCCTTACACCCCTGAACCCTTTTGTGATGTCTCTAGGCTTTATTACTGCATTGTTACTTGTTTATTCTTTTTTCTACTGCCTGTTCCCTCAGGGAGCAGCTAGAAATTCAAACCTTGGCCCTCATGTTGTTGCTAGAGATTTTACTGTATATTTGTAATAATTATTCAAGTATGTTCCAAAACAAACAAACAAAAAACCCAAGCAGGTCCATTTCCCGCATCATTTTTGCTTGAAGATTGAACATTAGAAGTGATATACTGTCAACCAAAGTCAGATGCAATCTGGTTTTCACATGGTTTTCTTCTTCCCATGGTGCAGTCATGAGTTTTGATAACCGAGATTCTGAGGTGTGTCCATGTGTAGCAGGTTTTTTGTGAGGGTCCTCAGAAACCTACATTGGGAGGGATCGTCTTCAGGCTAGCTTCCTGTGCTGGGCAGCTCCAGGTGGGAGGAGCTTGGCATTGAGAGCAGGGAGGAGTCTTTAGGGGCCTTTGAGATTGCAGTTTGTGTTACACATTTGATTTTTCATTCAAATTGGCAGTCTCTTTCCAAAAGGAGCATTATTCTCTCATCTTTAAAGTATGCTGAACAACAACAAAAAAAAGTATGCTGAGTTTAGTCAGTTTGGATACTAAGCAAATTATCGGAGAGTTCTCAAAATTTAGGAAGAAAAACCCAAGCCATTTTACTCAACCAGGGACCACAACCTCCAGGGTTGTTGGTGAGTAATGGTATAGTCTCCCTCCATGTTAACCCACTGCTGGCTGTGTTAACACCAGAAAAGGCCTACCAGCTGACAAAGGACAAAGGACAAAGGACAAATGGGAGTCAAGCTACCAAAGTATTTTGACTACACAGTGCTAGGGGGTGAGGGGGAAGAAAAGTTTATTCAACTGAAAGGTTTTGCTGGTATTACTCTTTGTGGAGGGCAGGATTATAACTCCTTACAACCTGGAAAATGTAGCTCCCCCCCCCCCTTTACATGTGAGAATAAAGCACATTATAAAATGGCTTACACAAGAGAAAGAAAAGTCTGTACAAAATGGGTACTATTGGGTTGAATTGAACCTAAGAGCCTGTTTGTTGGTTGGTTGGTTTTTTAGAGAGAAAGAGAGAGCACAAGTGCCTGGCAGTGCAAGAGGTGGGGAGGGGAGGAGCAGAGGGCGAGAGAGAATCCTAAGTAGGCTCCACAGGGGCTGGGCCTGAGCAGGGCTTGATCTCCTGACCCTGAGATCATGACCTGAGCCGAAATCCAGCATGGGACGTTTAACTGACTGAGCCATCCCAGGTGCACCCAAGCCTGTTTTTATACGGGTCTAAATATCTTCCCATTCAGTCTGCTTCGTTATTGAAGGGATTGCTGTCCTATTTGTTGAGCACCGCTGTCTTCTACATCTCCTTATTGGTTCCTCTTTGGGCATAAATTCTCACATTTGGAGAAATCCATTGTTTAAATAAAGGGCCACAGCAGCTCCCAATAGGCGGCAGAATGGCCTTCCAACTGCCTCTTGGCCATTTCCATAGGATATCTTGACCCATAAGTGGCTCCCCAAGTTCTAGATAGGAGCGGCTGGTTGGAAGGAAGTTTGAAGCTGTGTTTGCACAGTATGATCAGTTAAATGTCAATCGTCCATACAAAGGAGGGGAGATTGTGAACTCCCAAGACCCATCTCCCCACTCCTTTGCACTGTCACCATCCAGATTTCATTTCAGATTTAGCACATTAAAAACGGGCTATTTCCCCTTAAAATCAGCTCCTCCCTCCACCCTCTCCCCCAGCTTCCTCACTTGTTTAAAGCCATATTTTCCTTAGCAGGTTAAAACATTTGAAATATCTTTGTTAAATTCTCCTCCTTAGTTCTCACCCTCCCAATTCATCATTAAATCCTGTCAATCCTCCTTTTCTACTGTCTTGGAAACTTTTCTCGTTTCTTTTCTATGACTGCCGAACAGAAATAGAAGATGAGGATCCAGCTCTGTAGTTTGGATAGTGAAATGAGAAACACACCACATACAAATGGGTAAAAAAATAAAAAAACAGAAATAGAAATATTTTTTTAAATGCAAAATAACATGGCTGCAAACTAGCCTTATATATAGATCCCGAGGCACTGGCTAGCACTGCTTTTGTCTTGTAGCAATCCAGAACGTGGGGGTTCTTCCTCCCATTCTGGAGCTGTGGTGAGGCCTTTGGGGTCCAGCTTAGGTTACTCTGATTCCAGCCATCCCTCCACTTTAGGAACAGGAAATCTTCACTTCCAGAGGAAAGAATCTCCACTCAGAGCACAGTGTATATGTATGCACTCTAAACTCGTGTTGGCACAATTTATTGAGTATTTCATCGCAACGTAAACATTTTATGTTTATATTTTACCTCCACCTGGCCGGAAGCTCATTCTTCTGTATTCTTAACTGCCCCTCCCCTTCCCCACAGCAACCAACACAGGGTTGAGCTCATTGTAGCCTATAAATAAAATGTTTGTTAAATCACAGAGCCTTAGAATTTTAGACTCAGAAAGAATCTTAAGAGTTCCTCTTGCCCAATCCTTTACTTTATGGATGAAGAAACAGGTCTAGAGAGATTAGTTGACTTTCCCAAAGTCACACAGCTGGCTAGTGACAAAGCAAGGACCAGAAGCCGGGTTGCTCCTGCTTGACGTCTGTACCCTAAATTGTCCTTAGATAATCAGTGACAGAAATATCTGATGTTACACAAGGTCTCCTAGGGATGGTGCTGAGAGGGGTGGTCTGCTTTACTGAAACATTTTTAAAGATTCAGTTCATGCCCCTTGCAGGACCGCTCGGAAGGTCTAACTCCTCAGCTCGGTGTGCAGCCCCACTCGCTTTATGAACGCGTCGGCTGCATCCCTGGTCTCTCGACAGGAGGGCGAACCCGGGAGCCCCGCACCCACCGGCTCCCCTTCTCGGCCCCCCCCCCCCCCCCCGGCTGCGGTCCGTCACACAGCGGTCGGGGTCTCTGGTCTCTTCTATTGACGCCGGCCGGTGGACGCCGCGAGAGGGAGGGTCTCAGGACCCTCGCCGGGTGGGGGGGGGGAGGGGGTCTTGGCTTTGCAGAGAAAAAAATTCAAGAGCAAGCCATTTAGGGAAAGGCACAAAGGTGTATCTAGAAGAAAGGGGCTACTTCATAGATAAAGTAGCGGTCTCTCCTCCCAGGTGAGGAAGAAGACCCCCCCTTTGCCTCTAACGGTTTTGTAAGTTGTTTTTTTTAATTGGCTGACGTATAGAAGGGGGCTTACTGCTTAACTGTATCATTTACACTGAGCGGTGAGTTTTTCTGTTGTCTTAGGGTTGTGGAATTACCCACAGGGAGCAATTTTAAGAATGTCCAGCCTCTATGACTTTTACTGCCAGAGGGAGTCGGGTCTTGTGGTCTTCCATGAGTGGGATCTTGTGACTCTTTTTATGACCTGCTGACTTTTAGGTTAAGGGTCAGCCTAAATACCAAAATGGCTTTACTTTGGTCAACTTGTCTCCCGAGCCTCCCTTCACCACGTGGACTCAGCTCGGAGGATCAAAGTCTGTTTGCTGCCCGGCCCCCGGAGGTGTGCGGGGCGCCGCGAGGACCCGCACGGCCTGAGCAGCGGCCCGGCCACGCCGGGGGAGCCCGCCTGCCCCTCCCCCTCCTGCTGCACGCGGCCCGCGCCCCTTACCCTCCCCCACGACGCCCGCCGCTGCACCCGGCCGCGGCCCCCGGCCCACGCCCGGCTCCTGGAGGGAAAGGCCCCGCCCCCATCTGTTGGAGCCTCGACACCGCCCCCTCCCGCCCCGCCGAGCCTTCACCCAATAGCGAGCGCGGGTGGGCGGAGTGCGGAGGCTGTCGTGAGGGGGTTCTGGCCAATGGGGAAGCGTGCCGGGCCTGGTGGGCGGGGCGTCGGGGCCTTGTCACGCTCGGGTCCGTGTGAAAACGGGGGTTCCGAGTGCAAAGCAAAGTTTTTTTGTAAACCGTCTGCAAAGGCGGGGGGGCGAAGAAGGCGCCGGAGACCGGGCCGAGTGCAGCTGCCGTGGCCGCCGCCTTTTTAGCTCTTCAGGCGTCGGCTTCCCGGTCCGAGCCACAGCGGAGGAGACGAGCGAGGGGAAGACCTGCGCGGAGAGCCCTGCAGATGCTGGGAGCCTTCGTAGCGCGGAGCTGCCCGTCGCCCGCCCCCGCCGCCTGCCTGCTCCTGCTCCGGCTCCGGCTCTTCGTCCCCGGGCTCCGGGAGCCCCAGCGCCCCGCCGCCGCCGCCTCGGCCGCCGCCGCCGCCGCCGCCTCGGCCGCCTCGGCCTCTGCCGCCCAGCTGTGGGTGTGGGGACTGCTGGGGCTGAGCCGGGCCTCCGCGCCGGCTCTGAGCACCGACGCCTGAGGAGCTGCGCGCTGCCGGCCCGCCGGGGACGCCCGCAGGCGCGGGGGCTCGGCGGCTTGACCCCGGGCTCGTCCCCGTCCGGCCGCGGAGGGCACTCAGAGGTTTCCCGAGCGGCCCGGTCGGGCGGCGAGAGCCCCGCGCCGCCCTCCCGCCTCCGCCGCCGGGTCGCCGGCCGCCGGCGCCTCGCCGCCACCGCCAGGGTAGCCGCGGGGCCGCGCTCGGCGGGCCCCCTGAGCCGCAGCCATGGGGTGCTGGGGTCGGAACCGGGGCCGGCTGGTGTGCATGCTGATGCTGACCTTCATGTTCATGGTGCTGGAGGTGGTGGTGAGCCGGGTGACCTCGTCGCTGGCGATGCTCTCCGACTCCTTTCACATGCTGTCGGACGTGCTGGCGCTGGTGGTGGCGCTGGTGGCTGAGCGCTTCGCCCGGCGGACCCACGCCACCCAGAAGAACACGTTCGGCTGGATCCGGGCCGAAGTGATGGGGGCTCTGGTGAACGCCATCTTCCTGACCGGCCTCTGCTTCGCCATCCTGCTGGAGGCCATCGAGCGCTTCATCGAGCCGCACGAGATGCAGCAGCCGCTCGTGGTCCTCGGGGTCGGCGTGGCCGGGCTGCTGGTCAACGTGATGGGGCTCTGCCTCTTCCACCATCACAGCGGCTTCGGCAACGACTCCGGCCACGGCCACTCGCACGGGGGTCACGGCCACGGTCTCCCCAAGGGGGTCCGCGGCAAGAGCAACCGCGCCGGGGACAGCGACGACAGCGCGACCCCGGGCGAGCAGAGGCCCGACCAGGAGGAGACCAACACCCTGGTGTCCAATAGCAGCAACTCCAACGGGCTGAAGCTGGACCGGCCAGGTGAGGAGAGAGTGGCCACCGCAGGTGGTTGGGTCAGGGGAAGCCCGGACCCTAGCCTGGCCCTGAGCGGGATGGCCCGCACGCCCCCTGGTGCCCGCGCCGCCGCCGCCTCTCGCCCTCCAGGTCCCGCACCCGCGGGGCACACGAGGAAATAGGACCCCTTTCGGCCGGGTGCTAGCACCCGGGGCGCGCGGCTGGAGGTGGCGGTGGGGACTGTGGTTTGGAGAGTGGGCAGAGGGTCGGGAGGGGGCCGTCAGCCCGCTGCAGTCCACAGCCGCCCTGGGCCGCCCTTACGAGTGGTTCTTTCAAGAGACTGTCTGATTTCGGTTTTCACAGAATCGTAAGTGCCTCCTAAGTAAATTTCTTGGCCGCCACCCCTTGGGAAACGGAGAGAATCCCCAATTCATCCTTAGTTGTTGGCCATTTGAAACCTTGCCCTGCCCAAGTAGTTCTTGCGCCCTTTAAACAAGTTTCTCAATATTACATTCAGAGCCGTCTAGCCATTGACTCTCCTGAGCTCAAAACCCTGGTTAGAGGTTTCTTTTTATTCCAGTTAATTATCTAAAGTCTGAGCCTGATCTTGCAAATCCTAGATTTAGGACCAGTTTGGTAGTGTTTAACATTTCACTTAGGACTTTCCAAAATCATACTAAAATAAAAGTGATGGTAACTTACTCATCTTCTTTTTTACTGGATGCTTTTCATTCTAAATATAATTGCTCTTGAAGGCAATTTGGAAAATGTTGAAAGAAAAGAGCCGGGAAAAGGAATCAACCAAAGCCCAACTACCCAGGCTCTAATGATGTTAACAATTTGGTGTATTTCCTTCCAATTTTTTTTCATTTACATTTATTTGCTTAGTGGTATGATACTACATAGACAACTTGTTCTTTTTTGAAGATGCAGGATATCATGTTAATGAAATTGAACTTGTACACTGAAAAGGTTTAATAAACAATTGAATTTCCCCTCACTCCCACTCTGCAAGGTGTTATTCCAAAGAAAATTAAGCTGTTCTGGTGTGTATACAGTAATTCCTTTAAAAGATGGGTACATTTGGTTTAAGAACTGGTAGAGTAGATGGAGACCATTTATTTCAACTTTTCCTGAAGTTTATGATTGTTGATGGGTTTATATTTGATCTGTCAGTTTCTAAACCCTCTCCAGCAAGAGATTCTGTGGTTTCTATTCATGATAAAAGTTTGAGTGAGCCACACCACCTTCAGGACAAAGAGTGACTGGAGCTGTGGGTCAAATCAGGCATTTGTAGTAGACTTTTCCATAGTTGCATTTAGTTTGTGGGAGATAGCATTCAATTTTATGTTTTCTTTTTGTATATGCCAAAAAGCATAGTGGAATGTTCACAGCACCCCCACCCCCTCACAGAAAAGATGAACTTTTTTTTGGAGGTGGGGAGGTAGGAGGGTGGTTAGAATAGGGAGGCAATAATCTTCCTAATGACTTGATTTAGCCCTGGCCGTTATGCCCTGGCTTGTTCCCAATATGTTAGTTTATACTAAACTGCCCTGGGCACATTTTTAAATTACGTTTCATGAAAAATGTTCACCTCTTTCACTAAAATGGAATTAGATGAAGATGTTTGTATGAACACTTTAATGTATTTGATACAGCATTTTTTCTTTCTTTGTAGATCCAGAAAAGTCCAGAAATGATGCGGTGGAAGTACAAGTGAATGGGAATCTTATCAGAGAACCTGACCATGTGGAATTGGAAGATGATGATAAGGCTGGACAACTTAACATGCGTGGAGTTTTTCTGCATGTCTTTGGAGATGCTTTGGGTTCAGTGATTGTAGTAGTAAATGCCTTGGTCTTTTACTTTTCTTGGAAGGGTTGTCCTGAAGGGGAGTTTTGTGTGAATCCATGTACCCCTGACCCCTGCAAAGCATTTGTAGAAATAGTTAATAGTACTCATGCAACAGTTTATGAGGCCGGTCCTTGCTGGGTGCTATATTTAGATCCAACTCTTTGCATTGTAATGGTTTGTATACTTCTTTACACAACTTACCCATTACTTAAGGAATCTGCTCTTATTCTTCTACAAACTGTTCCTAAACAAATTGATATCAAAAATTTGATAAAAGAACTTCGAGATGTTGAAGGAGTTGAGGAAGTTCATGAATTACATGTTTGGCAACTTGCTGGAAGCAGAATCATTGCCACTGCTCACATAAAATGTGAAGACCCGACATCATACATGCAGGTGGCCAAAATCATTAAAGACGTTTTTCATAATCACGGAATTCACGCTACTACCATTCAGCCTGAATTTGCTAGTGTAGGCTCTAAATCAAGTGTAGTCCCATGTGAACTTGCCTGCAGAACTCAGTGTGCTTTGAAGCAATGTTGTGGGACACGGCCACAAGCCCCTTCTGGAAAGGATGCAGAAAAGGCCCCAACAGTTAGCATTTCTTGTCTAGAACTTAGTGACAATCTAGAGAAGAAGCCCAGGAGGACTAAAGTTGAAAGCATCCCTGCTGTTGTGATAGAGATTAAAAAAATGCCAAACAAACAACCTGAATCATCTTTGTGAGTCTTGAGAAAGATGTGATATTTGACTTTTGCTTTAAACTGCAAGAGGAAAAAGACTCCATTGAAATTCTAAGTTTGCCAAGTAGTGTAATTGAAGTCCTTGTCTGGTCACACAGTTTAATTCTATTTTTGTAAGAACATAATGGGACTGCTTAACAGAGTTCTATATTACAACTTTGTGATTATTAGTGCAGAGTACAGCTATGCTGTAACAATTTTGGAAAGCCAGTTTTAACACTATGTTACATTTTTGTTTAAAGTAAGTATAAACCTTATATAACATAATGACATTTGATTTCCAGTTTTTCCATGGTAAAAAATTAATTAGGGGGATAAATAAATTACAATTGTTACTGGAATTTCTCTGCTTTTCTTTCCCCCCAGTGTTACACTTTGTTTTTTAGAATTATAATCACTAAACTTGAAAAATCATCAACAGGTTTGCTTCCTTTGACGTTTTAGGTAATATTTACTTGCCCTCTGAAATCATTACATGGCATGTTTTTCAGAATGACTCATGGATATTATTAGGAGAAGTTCCTGTTTTTTCTTTACATGGGGTATTTGTAATACTAAAGATCAGTTACTATCCTGGATTCTATATTGCTGAGTATTATTCTAAATAAACAGTTGAGATAATTAACAAGTTGAACTACAGTTTACATATAATAGGGCATACAGAGAGTAATAGCAGGGGAGAAGGTTTACCAAATTAAATATTTAGATTGTTGTAAGTTAATATTCAGACCACATTTTTAAATTATTGGGAGAATTTTAACTCATGTTTTCTTTTACCAAAGTTAGTCTAAAATGTGGACATATTCACCAGCATTACTTTCTCTGAAAGATTGGCATTAGGAACATTGAGCTGAAAGTTTACTTATGAAATATATACGGTAAATATTTTTAAGGACATTAAAGCTAATCTGATAGTTACATGTTAAATGCAAGCTTATTCGTGTAATCTTTCAAATTGTAGATACTTAAGCAAAAATTAGAGTCATTTCATGGTGACCAATTGTGAATGGATTCAAATGGAGATTTTTTCGAGTACAACCAGCAGTTCTTGTGCTTTGCCCAGAGCCATTGACTTAGGAGAAAAAGGAAATCTAATGGTTAATGCAGTTTGGATATTAAATTCTTAAAAAACAAAGTTAAGGCAAAATTAGTAATTAAGATTCTGTAGGTTATCCTGTCTTGACATTGCTCAGATCTTGCAATAGTGGCTTATTTTGTAAGATGCCACAGTATCTACACAGGAAATTGTTCTTGGCTATTTCATTGTTGCTATGGGTTTCGAATCCATACACAAATATTATTTAAGGATATTTAAGTTATATTTTTCTTGACAGAGAGGGGTTATGCTTTGTGAAGAAACTAGATTTTTGTCCTCATAAGGATGAATATTAATATCAGTTATCATGTATAGCTCTATTTTTCTAGAAATAAGGTATCCTGACTACTTCAGTAACTTTTATAGCTGACTACTTTTGGGATGGCTCTCTTTTGGGATTTGAAATAATTCATTGTTTAATGGGTCTTAAGATGAAAGTGTTGGCATTGGACAGTTAACTTTTTAAAGGGATCTTTTGTGGTAGATGGTGTGTTTTTTTTCTAGTATAAGCCTATTGCTGGCAATGGGCCTATTTAAGAACAGCCGATTTTTCCAATGAGAATGAGGTAATTTTAGGAACACAGTTTGTAAGTTCACATTTGCTATAATGGGCCAAAACCATAACCCACCAATTTGCAATACATCTTGATCTTTTAATACTCTTATCTGATAATTGTGTAATTCAATTCCTAAACTGGAAGTTACTTTGAATTTTGCAAAAAAAATTTTTTAAACATGAAATTCGGGAATCTCATCATATGGGTAAAGGAGAGAGCTTCAAACTGTACTATATCACGTACATTCCTGATTCAACACTTAAAACTACAAACCATTTTATTAAGATCTTAAAACAATTTATGTTACAGAAACATTTTGGTAATGACACATATAATAGGATAACTGGTAAAATACATTCAGTGGGGTTTTCTTGACAAATGCTTTATTGGGTCTTTCTTAAAGGTTGTATAATGTATAAAACATGAGCTAAATGAGGATTTTTTTTTTTTAATGGTATATAAGCATGGGACAAGGGCTTTTTTTTTTTTCCAGAAGTGCTTTGAAGGTAACAGCCTTTAGATTTCAGTTATTTCACTTTTCATAATTTTTAAATCGCTTATATGTAACAAAGTGGTACCATAGAATTCTTTTTTCAAAGGACTTTGTCATAATAGCAAAATCTGTGGGCACTGACTCACCTTTTGAGTTTTAGCAGAGAATTATTTATTTCTTGACAATGCACTTTCTAACCCATTTTTAGCATTATCTTTTAAAAAATGCTTTTATATTTAAATATTGTGGGATTTAAGTGTCATTTCCAAAATAGCTTATTCCTTCCTGAAAGAAAATGAGGGAAATACCCTGAATTTTTAGGAGACTTAAACCCAATATTTAAATATGCTGTTTTTTAGCAATGCATCAATTTTAGGAGGTGCATCTCTCCTGCTGGCTCTTTTATATTTGAGCAAGATCAGTGTATTTAGAATATGTGTTTAGAAACTTGTCTGTTGTCTCAGTTTAGTGAAAAGGAGGTGCTGCATGTGCCTGAAATAAAACAACTCCAATTTTTCCAAGCCAAATGCCGCCTTAGTGAGGAGAGATTTCCTTCTCTGTTGCCACCTTTCAGCTTCTGTGATTGTTTAATAAGAGTTTTTTGAAGGGCATCTGCATTGTGAAAATACGGACTAGAACCTTAAAAAAAGTCAAAAAAGGGCAAAACCTTTGGTGTGTGAATTTTAGCATTTTAGAAAACAATGTTTGAATAACTAAGGTATGTAATTTGAATAGGAAAAGTTTCCATCAAGAGCACCTTGGAAAAATCTCAGTAGGTAGAAGACTATGTTAACATGTTTGTATCCTGTTAACATGCTCGGTTAATTTTGAATTTTTGGAAGTTTTGAGGGAAAAGGGCCTATGGAACCTAATGTGAAGTATTTAGTAGGCTAAGTGGTATTAAGTTGAAGATTCTTTTACTGTGTATAAGCAGATATCATTTGAATGATACAAATGTCATTTACCTGCTGTCTTAAGATGTTCACACATATACAAATAGGGAGAATAATTCTACAATATAGAAATATTTATTTTAATAAATATTCAGTTTCAGTTAAGGCATCAGTGTTAAAACTCTTGGGAAGGTGGAGGTTTTTTGGTTGCTTTTTAAATGGAAAACTGTCAAATGCAGCGTTTGGCCATCTGAAACGGGAATTGTAATAGCACTATTTTGATGTAGCTCTACAGATACCATGTGGCAATGCTATTTTGTTTTACTAACAAGCTCTGGAATATTTAGCAGTCATTTTCACTGGCACAAGAGCCTTTTGTATGTCGTTCAGTTTAAACTTTTAAACCAAAAATTTTGTGGTCCAGCGTCTTTGGCAAAAAGATGCTGAAGGGAATGTAACATACAATTATTATGTGGCTATATGTAAAAAGACACAAATTGCCGTGTTAGGTCCTGCCTTGAAACAGCACAATGAAGTGTATCAATGTATCCTGTGATTCTTTATGAAACTTCCCTGTTGCGTTGTTTTGGGTCCACCATAGCCTGTCTTTTGGGCCAGATGTGGCACAGTTAAATGCAACTATCATCTCATTAAATGCAGATGCAGATAAAACGTCCTTTAGTGCTGCAACATTTTACCTAACTTTTTGTATGTTTTATGACCGTGCGTTGTTTTCCAAAGCTGTTCCTACCTCACCATGAGGCTTTATGGATTGTTATGTATTATAAATGTTCTTTATGAGACAGACTACTGTGTTTCTTCTCATTTATTAAAAGTTAAGTAGAAAAATAAACTAATTTTAATATCTGCTTCATTGTTTTGTGCATGTGGCCTCCCCTCCTATACTAGGTTGGGTTATGTAGACTTCGGGTGTTTTAAAGGGAAATTGCAGCTTAAGTGTTGCTAGGTGTACGGGATGACCAGGTTATAGGATAGTATTGTGAAAGGAAAAAGATGGGCAAAAATTGCAATAGAACTAGAAAGGGTAACACAGCAAAGCCTCACTAACATGAAATAATCCATGGCTGTGAAATTTTTTTGTTACAAACATTAACATTGCATTATGTAATTACAGGTTAACCTGCTTCTTTTGGTTCTTGCTCTTTGTGAGCATAGTTACTAACAAGGATTATTAAATACTTTACAATTTCCTTAAAGAACTTGTGCTTCTGGCTAGGAGATAAGCAGGTAAAAACTGCATAAGAAAAAATCACTTGGCAGTAAATGGCAATAGATAAATACATAATACTCTAAAGAAGGGATGAAGATCTTTGGAAGGATTCATGTAGGTTAAAATTGAAAGGAGGGATGGGGGCTGAGAGGCAAAGGGGCATAGAATGGAGGATTGAGGGTCAAGACGGTAGAACCTTGTTAAAGAGAAGGTTGAAGGGTGCTTGGGTGGCTCAGTGAGTTAAGCATCTGCCTTCGGCTCAGGTCATGATCCCTGGGGCCCTGGGATCCAGTCCCGCGTCGGGCTCCCCACTCAGTGGGAACCCTGCTTCTCCCTCTCCCTCTGCCTGCAACTCCCCTTGCTTGTGCTCTCGCCTTGTGTCAAGTGAATAAATAAAATCTTTAAAGAAAAAAAGGTTGAAGTGCCATGTGCCATGTCACCCGGTTTGAATTTGGTTTTATAGGAATGGAGGAAGCCTTCAGTATTTGGATAAATGAGAAAGTGGAAAAGGATACAGGATAGATTTGGAATGGCAGACAAAGTGAGAAGAGGAAGACAAATCCATTTACTAGGTGTTCAGTGCTAAGAAAATGAACTAGTTCTCAAATACACGTGCCCACGTCTACATATACCACATTTCAGTTGATTCCAAATACATCCTTTTTTTATACTTTTAACATTTCTGAAATCAGAATGCATAGATAGAATCAGTAGTGTCTTACAACTGTTGGCCAACTTATTTTCTTATTTGGATGTGTCTTACGGTTAAGGATTCAGAAAAGAATTCTCAGGCAATACGGTCTTTCAAGAAGTATTTGCCAACATTCCCTAGAATATAATTTCACGTACTATGCATCGCACATCTGGATGAAAGCTGTTGCTTTTGAATTAGACGAAAATAAAAAGTCGGGGACAACATTGTTTTTTTGAAGAATTTCATAGACATTTCTGTGTCTTCAGAATTGACCATTTTTGCTCCCCCACTGTAGGCTATATAGCCTTTTTTTTTTTAATCAAGGAATTTATGGCACTTTGTTGCAT